AGCTGAGCTGCTCCGACGAAATCCAACACTGCAACAAGACGGCGTAATTTCGTGATGACGAAGTTTAACGACGGGCCTAGATTCTAAATCCTAATTATCCTCCGTCACTTTCTCTGTGAAAATATAAATAACGCTAAAATAAAGTGCGACGTGAGCGTTGGACTGGCAGGACGATCTCTAAAATGTAGAGGATACAGAAGTGCTTCTAAGCGATGTCTGGACACCAATTTTGAGATTCTGAGATTCACCGAAATTGTCTGTTTACTTATCATAGACTAAGTGATAATAAAAGCGTGCACCAAGCGTGACGATATAGACGCGTACGGTACGAAGGCGTGTGTGTGTACATCGCGATCGTTGTGGTATTGAGAACCGGTTTCGACCGGAGCTAGCCAAAACATGAGCACTCTGTTCAAAATCGTCGCAGACTTCACAGTATTACTCCGATATTAAAATTACAATTTTCATGCGAAAAATATTAAATTCTTACTACATTTGCACTTCACTACCATATAAACATAATTTTTTTATTCTAGATCATTTTCAGTTTGTTAATTACCTTGAAACTATAGCATTATCTAGAAGTATTTAGAAATCATGGTTTGAAATATAAGACTACGCTTAATTCCGGCTTTCCTTTTATTTCTACGTCATCGGATAAAGAGGTAGTGCCTCCTAATATGCAAATCTCCTCTTTCTGATTGGTTCACTGGGACAACACCCTTTCACAAAGCACGTGGCAATGTTTACGTTTACTTGGAATGTGATGTTTTATGTTGGGCAGAGTCATGCTTGTATCCGTGATTTTTGTTAATTCATTTCCGAAGATTCTTGAGTGAATCATGGCATAAAAGGGCATTAGCGGAGAACTATCTACAGAATCTAAAGTGTGCTAGAATAGGGGGATATAAGATAAGGGGAGCCAGTCCTTTTGCCAGTGGGTAACTCAATGTGATGGAGAGAGAAATGTAGGAATGTGAGACAGTGTGGAAAATGAAAGAGAGTGGTGAAATATAGAAGGTATAAACCACTAAACCAGGAGTAGACAAAATAAAAAAAGTAGTAGTAGAAAGAAAAAAGCAGTAGTAGGTCAAAAAAGGTGGAAAGAACAAAGGAAATAAACTCAAACAATCTAAGAACTAGAAGATGATGATGACAAATGAATATCAAAGTTCATTACCTCTTTTCAAGTAAATCCTGATAGCATTAATCATTAATCATTTGCCCCATAAAACAGCATACATTTTATAGAGAGAAGGATAATTGTCAAGACTATTACATCATTATATCTTAATTTCTGGCTACATAGCACACACTTTTATCTTATTATTGTCACTGCATCAACAAACACACATATAAACAAAGATTAACATGCTAAAGAGAAAGGAGTCTTGAACAAATATCTGATGTTCTTTTAAAGGTACTCTGTTCCATTTACAGGCCAAAAAATGAAAATGTTGAATTCCAACAGCATTTGAAAGATAATACTAATATGAAACTTTCCTCAAAACAAAAGGGCTTGAAATATGAGAAAATAACAACCATTAGTTGTCAAATCGACTCAGTTGATTGCAATCACGAAAGTAATAGTCTGATTTTCAGACCCCTGTACCGAATGGTTGAACGTTTTGTGCTGCGCAAAGATTCAATCAGTTTGATTTTGGCCATTACAAGAATTGGTTTGTTGATATTGATGTAGACAAAATTATGCTCCTGTACCCTTTACAGCTCATTTTATGTATGTTATAACCAAAGAAGAAAAAGAAGTCACTCTCTCTCTCACTCAATAGTGTCTGACAGTGAAGTCTAGAAAATAAAATATGTTTCCTTGCATAATTTGAATATAAGGACACTGCTAACAGTTACATTTCACAGATAGGACATACGTGACATATTCATAATTCCTGCAAAGTTCTACTGAGTTTGATGTTGGCTGCAAACATGGGACATAGTAGCTTTAAATTCAAATAATTTCTACTATAAAAATTAATATAAGATACTGTTCACTTGAAAAGAGTTAATTGTTTATCTTTAATTGAAATAACATGAAACTGATGAAATAAAAGAAATAAAGTAGAAGAGTGAAAGAGGAGGACGAAGAAGAAATTGACAATGAATATGAATATCATGAGTGATGATGATGATGTAAAATAAAACAAAATGGTGACAAAATTTTGATGGCAAAGACAGATACTAGAAAACAGTAAAAAAATTAAAAAATAAAAAAATAAAAAAAATGAAGGGAAGGGAAAAAAGTTGAAGAAAAAGAAGAGGAAAGATAGACACAGACAGGAGTAAAAGACAATAGAATACAAGAGAAGACACTAAGAAGAATTTAAAAATCTGCAGGATACAACCAGAGACAAGAATTGAGACATAATGACACAATACAAAGTAAAGGTTTAAAAATGTGAGAAAACATTTATTTGCTCTACAAACATGCAAACTCTAACTTGGATCTTATAAAACAAATCCTTTAGTCATACTTTGGCAAGAATGATACTTTTTTCCGTAAAAAAAGTACTGTCGGTTTCAAGTTAGGAAGACTGTGCATGTACATATACCCATTTACATGTATAAGATTTTTTGGCAAAAAGAATTCTAATGAAATACAAAGCTTAGATTTATCCTAATTTATGAGGTTGACATGTGTGAAAAGAACAATGTTATTGTCCATACTAACAACTGTTCAAATGTGTGTATTCCCTTGCCAAAACTCTACAAAAATCATCATGAATTTTTCTGTGAATCGGCGAATTAGCACAACTATTATTTCAAGTCAAGGATTCTGTAACTTTCAATGGAAAATGACAGACCTTGCCTTTCAAAGGACTATTGCTGCCAACTATGCTGCACTCTGTGTATACTTGTCTCAGTTTTTAAAACAAATCCTGATAATTCGGTAACAAAGTAATCTGAACCAGAACAAATTGATTTAGTGGAGGATTGCTTTCAAAATAAAATCATTGAGTTTGTAATTTTTAAGAATCGCTTGTGCTACTGATGGTTTTTCCGAACTCAACATCATATTACAAATCAACACATGCATCATCAAAGGCCCTATATGGCTTTTAAACCCATCATTTCATAGTTATAAACAAGCTGCTTGCACATCATGTTACTGGAGACAAGCCTTGTCATGACAGCTCTGTCAGTTCTAAAATTTCCAATTGAGTATGATATTGATCCTCATAAACATTTAAAATGCACTAAAAAACATAAATTACAACATATTATCAAAGATTGGAATGTATTTGTCTAATTTTCAATTCCTGAGTGAATCCAAAATATCCATAAAAGAGAATACAACTAAATTGGAGTATTAAAGTACTTGATTCATTTGGCATTACATCAATCTTCAAGGCATGGTGTCAAAATAAGAGAATGATTTTTTTTTCTTACTTTTTCTGTCACATGCTAATCATTCTTATCACAAGTAAAAATGTATTTTTAAAGTTTTTATCTTTTTCATTCCTGTTCTTCATAATCTTCAGTTTCTAGTACTTGCAGATCAATGGTACTAGTACATAATACTAAAATAAACTATAATGTATGAAACATGATGTATGGAAAGATTCACAATAACTGAATATTGGTAAATAGTACAAAGAGTGTATATGATAAATGTAATTGACCATCACATTGGTGAAAAGGGGTTCTTTGGTTTGCTTCAGAGTACTGAAAATATAAATACATCAGGGGGGTGTTTCACAAAGATCCTTAGTTGAACTTATCTCCAAGTTGGACTTAAAAATTATGGAAAGCCATTAGCATCTTTGAAAATATTTTGTAAAAGTTATTTTAAGAGGCATAAAATGCTGATTCAAATCATTAATATGTTCTTTTATCAATGAGATGACATGTTCTTGATGTGGAATTAATGAGAAGTCTAAAATAATTAAGTTTTTGCTTTTGAATATATTTTATTTTAAGGCTACAAATGGCTCTCCATAATATTTAAGTCCAACTTAGAGTTAAGTTCTACTTAGGATCTTTGTGAAACACCCCCCAGATCGGTTGAATGACTATCTGACCTTCCTCTTAGCACCACCCTAGCAATAACCACGTAGCGATAACCACCCGACATAGATCTATCGAGTTTATGAAGCCTGCCCTCTGTTGTTAAAATGTTTCCATGTCTATACATCTTAAGGCCCATTCAGACATGACACAGTAAACCATAGCAAAAATCACGGCAAAACTGAACATAATACAGTCAATCCTGCTTTAGCGCCCACTTGTAAGTTATATAGGAAGACAACCCGTCTATAAAGACCACATTTTGCCCCCCCCCCTCCTTTAAAGTAATTTCTCATTGAAACATATACTAAAGGAACCTGTAGAGACCACCTACCTGCCTATAAATACCACCTTTCTTGTATCCCTTGAGTGGTCTTTATGTACAGGTTTCACAAGTTTCACTGTAGATGGATGGTGAGGGCAATATCTCATTGTTAGGAGTTAAACAGAACACTGTGAAAAACTTCTGCATAAATATTGCATAAACAAATCATACTGTTACTACATGCTATACAACTACTAAAATACTAAATACTAAAAAACATAACAAAACAAAATATTTTCTCCCCCTTCTCCTACTCCTACTATTGGACAGCTGTCTTTCTTGTTTCTACATTCTTAAATAAGACTGGTTCCTGCCTTGAGGAAAAGCCCATAGGTTAGTAAAAGTCTCTCTCTTTTGTAAGAACATTCAATACCTCCCGTCATAGCTTACAGGACAGGAACAGTAACATTGTCACTCTGTTTCTTGGAGGTGACTGCGATTAGTTCCCGCCTCAAGTCCTAATAGCCCAGTGGATAGAGAGTACCCTGTGGTCTCTATATTTATTGATGCGTTCCTGGTACTCATTCGTCTCTAGTCCTTCTGGACAAAGAAATATCATGTCACTCTCATTTGTAGGTCTGGTCCTTGCCAAAGGACCTCATCGCCCATTTGAGTTCTGGTACCTATTCTTGTCTAGGATAGTAAAAAGTCAGTCCTTCTGGTTCATGGAATAGTTAAAAGCCTAGCTCTTTTGTCCCAATGCCAAGTCCTTACTATCCATGGGATAGTGCGTCCCAGGGTTTTCTGTATTCTTGATCCATTCCTGGTACCTCTTCAGGACTTTTTCGTCTGGTCCAAGGAATAGTTAAACGGGTTACTCTCCTGTGTCAAACCCATCCAAACTCAAGTCTTCATAGTAAATTTCAGAGTAAAATGGCACTTTTTGTAATAGAACTGGTCTTTTCCTTAAGTCCTATTACCACATGGTATAGTAAAACTGTTTCTCTTTTTTGTGCAACTGGTCCATAGGACTGCACTTTTAGTCCTAATAGCCCATTGGGTAGTGTGCAAAAGGGTCTCCATGTTCCGCGATCCGGTCCTCGTACCTCTGCCTGAAGATCGCCCTGTGTTGTTCCCGGACCTCCAGGTCCCATATGACCTGACCTGACTCGCAGCTGCTGACCCGTGAGATCTTGATCGCCTTGATGAGAGGATCCGGAGGGTACGACACCACCTTCCCAACCACCATCACGATAGAATCAACTGAAACAACACACAGAGAATGGTGAGGTTAGATGGAATGAAGCCTATGAGGGGCTAGTCAAAACATTTTGTTTACACCTATGATCAATTTTGAGGAAAACAAACCAAATTTTAACCCACAGACTCCTAACTTTTTTTTAACAAAACAATTTCTTCATGTTGACATCCGATTTCTCTCATTCTCCTAGAGTTAACACATGAAACACCCACTACCAGTAGCTAATGGGTTAAATTTGGAAATAAACATGGATACATACAGAACAAGACACGAAACTTGCTATTGCATTTAATTATCATAAATATTAAAATTTGAGCGACAGGTTTGTGCAGAGCTTGTCTTCCCTACCATAGAGCTTAGAATATTGATTTCACATCATTCATTATAATGCTAAAAAACTAACTTCAATTTAAGTAGGAGAAATTTTTTGAAATAAATTTAACTGCTTGTGGTAGTTTTCTTAAAAGCCTGTCTACACTAGTTTGGCCAGGAGGGATTAGACCTCCCTGCTGGTCACTGACAGTCGGTTATCTCATCAAATCAGCTTCTAATTAACATCAGAAAAAGGGGATCATGGGGGACCAACGGGTACCGCTTAAGCATTGTTTGCTATATAGAGGGCGCAAGTAGCAACAAGTAGTACAGTCCCACTTTAAATTAGGGAGGGGTATAGGGAGGTGTCTGGGTACTTGTCCTAACTTAATGCCTTACAGTAGTTTGCAGGGTTTTTAGGGTGGAGCTTAGCAGGTCAGAGTAAATTATTTTAAACAATATTTAAAAATCTTTGAAATATATTTAGATGTATGAATAACAAAATATGAGTTATATGCAGCCCTGCACGTCACCAGGAATCCACTTATATTTGGATTTCATCCGACCTTTAAGACTTTATGGAATTATGTTTAATGAGTCTGTTGCTGCAGACTAGCCTTACAGCAAGAAATTATAACTTTACCAACCAGTGTCAGCTATAAGGTCTATGCTGTACTGTGCTTTGTGCAAGTCACATTGTCCCAAAATAATGTCATTGTTGACATATCTAAATTTTAACAAGAACATTAATAAGAAGGGATCACATCTTGGTTAAAGCAGGACTGCACTACTTGTATCTACTTGCACCCTCTATATAGCAAACAATGCCTAAGCGGTACCCATTGGTCCTCCATGGTCCCCTTTTTCTTATGTTAACAGAGAGCTGATTTCATGAGATCCCCCCCCCCCCCCCCCCCGTCAGTGACCATGCAAGGAGGTCTAATCGTTCCTGGCCAAACTAGAGCAGACATACATCAAGGAATATTCTCCTTAGCATAACTTTATTAAGATGCTTGCCCAACATGCCTTTTCTGCCGACGAGAGGGTCCTTCTAACTATGAATCCCTCAAGGGCTGGTCTTTATATTATCAATACTAATCAAATCGGTCAACGTAGATGTATTGGATCTGAGCAAATCGGTGCTGAAGCTTATTAGCATCAATCTTTGAGGACCATACACTTTCTTGACAGACCAATTTCTTCCTTCTTCCCCCTTTTCCCTTGTCCTTCTTATCTGTTTTACTTCTCTTTGTTCGTTTTGTGGTTTTGTAATATTGTCTTGTGTTTTCTAAGTCTTTGAAGGCAAAATTTGAAACAATTATATTTTTTTTCTGGGGGATCCACAAACTACAAGCACTGCATTTTAGTGGATCCCCCCCCCCCATTTCCTCAGAAATTAAGAATTTCTTGTAATAATTTTATTATATTTGTGCAAAGTGTATTTGTATAGTTTCCAGGAAAAATGAATTATGTATGGAAAAAAAAGAAGTAATATCTTTGTTTACCTTTCTGTTGGAAATGAAATAAATATGAATATGAATATGAACATGAATTCACATTCACATTCAATCTCTAGTTCATAAGTTATATTGTATTACACTTTTGAGTATAAATTTCTCACCTGCGATGACGTTATCATTGTGTGAGCGAAGCCTCCTGACACTGCTGTAGTCTATTCTGGCTCTACCCGTTGAATCGTAAAGTACAGCGATATTCTCAGGCTCGTCAACACTTACTAGTCTCCCCTCCATCCAAACCAGCCCTGCAGAGAAACACAAACAGACATCATAGTCATTTATCCATTGTGTCAGTGATATTTCAATTGATGAGTCAGTGTACTGGGGGTGTTTCACAAAGATCCTAAGTCAAACTTAACTCTAAGTTGAACTTAAACATTATGGAGAGCAATTTGTATCCTTCAAATATATATATTCAAAAGCAAAATTCAATATTTTAGACTTTTCATAAATTCCACATCAAGAACATGAAATCTCCTTGATAACAGAAAATATGAATGATTTCAATCAACATTTTTAAAAACAATTTTTACAAAATATTTTCAAACATGCTAATTACGGCTGTCCATAATTGTTAAGTCCAACTTAGAGATAAGTTCAATGTGGGATCTTTGTGAAACACCCCCAGGAAAGCAAGTTTCATAGTGGTTTATGTATGGTTTCAGACTTTACAGCAAAATACTGATGTGGCCTGTCTGTCAGGATGATATCTTATTTACTTTCCATTAAAATTACAGTGAAACCTGTATCAACGTCGATCTGGCGCTGCTCAGTGGCTGCCGGGCTCACGATCAATTGGGCAAAAAGAATTTCCGTTTCGGTTTAATAAAATTTGGAGTGGACTATTAGGCTATTATTATTATTATTATTATTATTATTATTATTATATGAAGACAAATCAAGGGAGACAAGGTCAGTGATTTTCATAGGCAGGCGGTCTCTAAGTACAGGTTCCTTTAGCATGTTTCAATGAGTAACCACTTTCAAGGGAAACCACAAAATTTGGTCTTTATAATAGACAGGTGGTCCTCCTATACAGGTAGTTGTTTAAGTAGGGTTGACTGCATTGAAACAAGTCTGGACCTCCTCTTAACACCATGGCTCAGTAAAAAGAGCATTGGTCTTGAAAACAGAAGGTCATGGGTTCAAACCATGCGGCAAGCAGATGCACTACTGGTCTGTGGTAAGACAACGACTTGTAATTACAGAGGTCTTCAAATGGGATTGAAAGACTTAGGTGTATTAAATGATATCTGAATTACCGTACAAGCACTTGCTTTCTTAGCAGTCCGGAAACACATCATCACCAATAATGAAAAGTAACTGATGCTCAAAGCTATTCATCAACCCAGCTATATCACACTTGATTAGAGTTGCAAAGGTCACAGGTTCAATCCCTGGCATGGCATTTTATTTAAATTACTTCTCTGCACCCAGGTGTTAAATAGGTACCCGGGGGCCGTTTCTCGAAACCAACTCCATGACAGTCATATCTTTGTCGGCGACCTACGGAGATGTCATGAAGCGGATAAACCGTTTCACAAAGCCATGACAGACATGATATCGATATATCGCGATACTCGCAGCTCAAGAACATAGTCTTTGTCACGATCCATTTGATTTATCAAGAATAACCCAAAACAAGTTTTGGGGCTAAAATTGTTCAAAATGAAATATATACATATAAATTCTCCTAAAATAAATAATAAATAGTGTCATTATCATATTTACATCATCAAACGATTTGCATATTTCTGTAAAGATTCTTAAATTGAAGAAAAACCAGTGAGTGTTTTTTTTTGACAGTCGAATCAAAAGTTAGTTGAAGGATACCGTAATGTGATAGTTTATCAATACATACTTTTTTGTTTATTGTGACGAGGAATTTTAGGTAAAATGTCTTTTCTCAGCCAGTTTTTATTCTAGAGTCTCATAAATACTCGTTATATAATTGATTTGATATTGAAAATATAATTTGGAAGTAATTAGAGAGGGAATAATAATGCACATAGGCCCCAAAGGTATGACGGTATCCTAAGAAAAGACTATGGATCGACTATGGAAAACGGTGTGTAACATTCTTACCTCTCTTATTTATATGTTATAGTTTAATGATTTGTGATTTAATGTTTATATTCAGCTTTTTAAAGTTTCTGTATAATTTTTATTCTCACTTTTGTACATTTGCATATCGCATCCCAGAGGTTTACGTACCGAACTCGTCTATATTTTTCTCAAAATGATAGTGAAACTAATTGTCCATTTCGCGGCCCATGGAATGGCAACAAACTGACTTGTGATGGCGCTTTACAGCAATTAAAAAGATATGACAGGTTCGGAGCAGTGACAACTCGCTTGTCGCGGAAGTTGTCGCTCATCTTGGCAAAGACGGCTTCGTGAAACACTTAGCTGACAAGTTGCGTGACAGTGGCGAGATATCGTTGATCTTGTAGTTATGACGGTTTCGAGAAACGGCCCCCCGGATGCAAACGTTAATGCGGTTGGATTGGCACGTGTGAGCTTGTAAAATGGTGCCTAGCTGAAAAACTCCACAGGGTGTGGAGTGTGTGCACAATTATGTTAGAAAAAGTAAAATAATAATAATTACAATGTAAAGTGCTTAAAAATTTGAATTTTATTATTTATTATTAGTCCTCACCCCCATGACCCCACTCAATAATTAAAAGTTTCAGCATTCAATAAGACAGCAAACTTGAATACCAAACATTCACTGACCTTGAGGATCAAGTGTAGCTAAGATGTCTTCTTCTGCCAGCATCTCGATGAACACCCTCACAGCGGGTTTATTGAGTCTGCTCGAGCTCTGGGTAGCCATCTTGGTACTCCAGAGAAACTTTCCTGATCTTCGAAGATGATCTTAGACTGAATGAATGCTACCTGGCTGAAGTGAGGGGGGAAAAGCTAAACTGTCACAACTCACATCCTTGTTAATAAATCAAATTGTTAAGTATAAATAAGAAAAACTGAGAGCTAACTTTTCACCAGATTCCAGTGAAAGAAAATCAGCTAGGCCTACCCCTTCCCCTTGTCGGCTTGTGTGTGTGCGGCATGCGGCAAGGGTCACCGCACTGTCGCACTGTCTGTGTAAGGGGAAGGTTGACAAACATCATCAGTCTTATCAAAGAAATTCCCATACAGATCAGAGACGGTTATTTGTGTCTAGATCTAGCTGTGTGTGAGAGTTACTGATCAACCGATGTCATTTCTTGGCAGATCTTCATCACCACCTGCGCCGCATAGCCACCCCCGCCGCTACCTTGGCTTGGCCCGTGAGCTCGGGCTCGCCTCGGCTGCATGGTCTGTACGTTGGAAAGGCTGCGTGGCGCGTACACTCCAGTCAGCTGTTTCATTAAGTTAATGCAAAATCGTCTACGGGCTACAAATTTCCGAATAAAATTCACAAATATTAAGAACTTAAGGTGCAATTAGCTTACCAAATTCTGCTGTATCAATGGATAATCAACGCGACAGCTTAGCTCAGCTCAGCTCAGTCAGTGCACTCGAAGAGTTTTCTAAATGCATTGCACCTTCTTCGTAATGATTGCACACGTCGCTTTCCATAACTAAAGCTCCAGTCTACGATCACAGACCTTATTCAACTTTCTTTCTTTTTTTTCCTCTTTTTTTTCTTTCCTTTTTTGAAAAATGACCAGGCCTTTTGAAGACTTAGACTGATAGGAATAGATTTAACTAGGAAATAATAAAACAAACAAAAATTGAGATCTTATCTGTTGAAATTGACTTTAAAGCATGTTTCTCAACTATGATTTTTACAATCGGTTTATTTGTAGGAATGAAGAATAGACTATACTCTCAGACTTGCTAATGAGGGCCTAAACAATAAACAGTTTCTTTCTTCCACATAAACGATTAACCCGTTGACTACTGAATTATCTAATTCCCATAGACTTAACACAGGGACCACCAGGTTCCAGTAAGCAATGGGTTAACATAACCACCGTCATTAATTATAGCTCCAGTCTACGATCACAGACGGTATTCAACTCTTTATATAAAAAATGACTCTAGGCCTAAAAACTAAAAACCGGTAGGAACTTAGATTTACCTAGGAAAGAATACAACAATTAAGCACAAAATTAGGATCCCACCCGTCGGACCCTAAATGCTAAAGCAAGTTTCAAACTAATAATATATACAGTTGTATATATATATATATATATATATATATATATATATATATATATATATATATATAATTATATATATATTTATGTTTTTGTGTATTCATTGATTTTTTTCTCAAAGCTCCAATTCTTTTTCGTATATAACATAGTTTATACAAAACTGCAATTATAACACGGCTCTTTTATCATTTGATAAACAAACATAATTATACAACATAATTCATTGTTCAATATTACACAATGTATACTCATGACGAAAATATATCGCACTTACATAATAGAAATAGTTATTTCAACCAAAAGCTAGAACAAAACAATGTTTTTTTCAGAAAAAGACTGAATACTTATAAGAAAAATATTTAAACAAATAATGAGTTATATTTCTCAACATATTATTATACAAAATTGAAATTTTGAGTTTTTCTTTTATTATATTTACCCTAGGTTCAATTGTAATTGTAGGGATGAAGAATAGACTATACTTGAGGTTCCCTAATTATTGACCCAGCCGGGAGGCGTTATTTTCTTGCACATGATAAACGATTAAATCAACCACCGGCATTAATTATAGCTCCAGTCTATTCCCGTGGGCAGACCGTATTCAACTTGATTTTTTTTAATGAAAAATGACTAGGCCTAAAAACTAAAACAGGTAGGAATAAGAATACAACAAGTACAAAATTAGGATCGTCCTCTTTAAATTGACCCTATAGCAAGTTTCAAAACTAAAATATGATATGGTTGAAATCGGTTCATTATTTTGTAGGGGGTGAAGAATAGAGAGTCTCTATTCTTCATCCCCCATCATCACCGAAATAATCTCCCATCCTCTTCATTTTTTAATCTTTCTCCTTCTTCCCCCTTTCTAGCTATTTCACTCTCTCTCAGTCCCGCTCTCCGTCTCTCTCATCCCCTCTCATCTCCCTCCTTTCTCCAGACACTCTCTCTCTCTCTCTCTCTCTCTCTCTCTCTCTCTCTCTCTCTCTTCACGGACCAAGCTCTCGCTTTATATATGCAGGGGCGGATCCAGGAATTTCTTGCCGGGGGGGGGGGGGCACACGGTGGGAAAGAGAACATATTTGGTCCAAAAAAACGACTCAGCCAGCCGCTGAATAAGGGGGGGGGGGTTAAGAGGACACTTTTTTTTTAAATACAATTTTTAATAATTTTTTTTGTTGGGCCGGGGGGGGGGGCACGCCCTGTTTTTCAGTTCATTTTGGGCGAATTTAGGGCTGATTTAACATATTTTTTTTGGCCCGGGGGGGGGGGGCTGGATCTGCCACTGATATGATCTATCTACCTTCAGCCGTATACGCCAGTGTTAAAATATATACTCCGAATTTAACTTTAGTTTTAGGGCTCTGACGAAATACATGTACCATAACCCATCTCGAGTTTTATACCATTTCAGCAATGTTTGTAAATGAATAAACCACGTTTGAAATTTTATTTTGGGGACAACTGATTCCCCCCCCCCCCCCCCTCCAATCAGTACGCCAGTGGGCCCTGATGATAACAAATAAAATATAATAAATAAGAAGAAGAATATTAAAACACTGGGTGAAATGGTTGGTTTAATGGTAATCACATGCCTTGAAGAAGAGCACGTACCCCTCCCCCTTCCCCTTCCCCACTCCCACATGATGGATTGCTACTTCTTTCGACTATCGAGGTCCATGATTCTTGAGCAATTTGGTGTGACACAAAGAGCGTTCCATATACATTGCATGCTGCATCAGGAAAAAAATATGGACAAACATTCCGGCGTTGAAAGTGGTCAGCCTTCTGTTAATAAAAGCCCAAATGATAAGAAAGATTACAGGTAACATTTTTTCGATGAACTGTTTCTCAGGAGTTTCGTAGTTTTAACATTTTAGTCTTGTTTTTATTCATTACACCTAAATCATTTTTTACAAGTCATCGAGTGTGCCCACCTGATGTATTTCGCGTGTGTAAATTTACTGCTTAAATTGAGTAGCTCCTGGCTGCCCTCCAGCTCCATTTACAATTACATTTTAATTTTTATGACATAAGTCATGATTATTTATTTTGTCCATTGTTATCATTTAATGTTGTCTGGTCAGAACTAAGCTTAGTCAGTACTGATTGTTATTATTTCTCTGTTTAAAATGATCATCAGACAAATAAATCAGAATTTCTATCTCAGTGTGTGTGTGTGTGTGTATTGGCACATTCATGGGGCACTAGAGGGCGCTTGGGTCGCGTACGAAAATCTGAATGGCCTTGCTGCGGTGGGTCGGCAATAATCAGCCCAAAACTTGGATATGGGAGGTTGGAAGGATATATCTTTTTTATAATGTTATCCGGTCTTACCCTTATTAACCATCCTATGTTTAATCTATGTAGGAATAACATGCGAGTATGATAAGAGAAACATCGGGACCATTACTGAAGTAACTTTTAAAATATTAGCCTAGAAATGACCACCAAACGGAAAAAATTGACATTTTTTCCCGACAAATCTTCATAAAATCTGAGTTATAAACAATTCACATCTAGGTACACTAATACAAATACGATTTTCTGAAAATTCAGGTATGATTTTTTAAGTTTCTTTCAATTTCAAGTATATTTCTGCGCATTGCAGCGCCAATATTCTTCACTGCTTCAAAATCACCCTTGATTTTTTTTTTGCAACGAATTTGATACGAGGTCCGCGAGTGTTCCCCTTTCCTTGCGTGTTGAAAGTTTGGTAATACATAGTTTGCATTGACTCGCGCACAAAAAAATGGTCAAAAACAAAATGTCAAATGAAGAAATAAACAAGCTTTTGTATAGTTATAAGAGTTCTACCGAGGTTTCTTTGTCGATTTAATTTATTATATAGTCTCAATTAGAATTCAGAATTATCTCACTGAAAAGTTAAGAAACCGACGATGTTCTCGATCGTAGTAATTTTCATTTTGCCAGCAGCCGATCTAGCGTTGTTTGGGCAAAAAGCTAGGCCGCTGCCTTCCCACCGCGAACCTTTCCGAGTCCCGCTAAAATGGCGCGCTGCGGAGCTTCGAAGCTGCGTTGGTATCGCTGCAAACTCTCAGCCGGCTAGCCCTCCACGACGGACCATTCGCGGTATGGTGAGAGTGTGTGTGTGAGGTATGATTTTGGAATCAAGAACGCACGTAACGCAACCGTGCGCGTCATTTAGAGCTGTCGAATGTGTACGACCAATTTTACATGTACGATTTTTAGTACAGATACTTGGTCAGTTTTCTTCTTATATCTTTGGTTTTACAACATGTAAAAATATAATTTCTTCAAATCTGCTCCTGACTCGGTTCAGACTAATTGTCTGATGTGTTTTCAAGTCAATTTTTTGAATATATTTTTTTGCATGAATTTGCCTATCTCAGATAAATTACCACAAAAAAGAATAAAGTACACTTTATTCTGTTCCATATGATTAACATTTGCATCTTGTATGTATAGGGTTGTGAAGCTAGACAACGGCATAACTGCACTGCTGATAAAGGATGTTGACAACACTAACAGCAAGGAAGATGATGAGCATGATGATGAAGAACAAGAGATGGAGGAGGAGGAGACGGAAGGAGATGATGGAGCTGGGCTCGAAGGAGGAGATGGGAACTTATCTGTGAAGAGGAGGAAGCAGGAATCCTGCGGTACCGATGATGGAGAGATGGAAGAAGAGCAGGAAGAGGAGGAGGAGGAACTAGAAGGAGGAGATGAGGAAGAGGAGGAGGGAGAAGAGTCATCCCAACGAAAGAAACCCAAGAAACAATCAAAGATGGTGAGGAGTTTGAAAACCACTTATCAAAGTCTCATTTTGACCACCGCCTCTTTTTAAAAAAACTATTTACTATTCAGAAGAAGAAGAAAACAAAAAAACTAGTGATATTCATATTGTTTAAATAGCTTTTAAAGTGACACAAATCATTTGTTTTGTCATACATTGCATCAGTATACTCACATAGCACAATAATTGTGAATAAATAGGCTTGGCCAGCTATAATTAGCATGGCAGCCATCTTGGGAAAAAATAGCAAAAAATAAATTGTAATGCCCTGCCTCCTCTTTAAAAAAAAGAGTCTGGACGAGAAACACATTATTGTTGTTATTTGGTCTTGTGTGTAATTTTGATAATACTTTCCATGGTATAAATATTAAATACCTGTAGAGTCGTGAGATATTATTATCCCTAAAGGAGTAGATCCTAAAAACTATGTGTTCTCTGTAAGGCTGCGACGGGTAGTCGAATGCTCGAGTACCCGCACGGTTGACAACTACTCGGGTACGATTTCTTGTACCCGAATATTCGGCCGCAAAAAAAAAAAAAAAATTAAAAAAAAAAATTAAAAAAAAAAAAAATGTCCAGGCCCACGCTTACCCGTGCCAGGGAGAGCGGCGTCCGCTGGCATGGTACCGTCGGTAAAAATGTTTCCCAACTCAAGCACTGTCAAACTCACCTTTCAGAAACTGGGACCAAATGTCCAGATTTCTGTTTGGACTTGGAGGAAAATGGATTATTCTGCCATCTTTGGTTTTTAAAACAGCATTGTTTACTGTTATTATTCTTATTAAATTGGCGCCTTCAACTGCAACTCAAAGTAAAGTTGCATGCGTTTTCAGCGAGGGACCTGAGAAACTGCCGAGTGGTATGGTAGTGGCAAAAAAAGAAGAAAAAAAAGGAAAAAAATCCAAAAATCCAAAAATTAAAAAAAAAAATCAAAAAAATTATAAAAAAACATGGCGTCCGAATATTCGAGTATTCGCCTGTGAGCCTGGGAGTGTACTCGGGTACCTCATTACACTGTTGTGCACAGCCCTAGTTCTCTGTTCAGGGGGGTGTTTCACAAAGATTCTAAGTCGAACTTAACTTAAGTTGGACTTGAATATTATGGAGAACCATAGCCTTATAATGAAATATATTCAAAAGCGAAAATTCAAGTATTTTTTATAGACTTTTCATTAATTCCACATCAAGAACATGAAATCTCCCATGATGATAGAAAATATGAATGATTTGAATCATAATTTTATGCCTTTAAAATAACTTTTACAAAATATTTTCATAGATACTAACGGCTTTCCATAATTCTTAAGTCCAACTTAGAGTTAAGTTTGACTTAAGATCTTTGTGAAACACGCCCCAGAGCTAGAAGAGCATTTTCCATAGAGATAATACCTTTCTGGCTCCTAAAAGGTGATACCTTGCTTTCCATCACAGGAATTGATTTAATCAGCACACATTTTTAATTGTAAAACCTAATTTAAGGAAGGAAGATATGTAATATCCTTTGGCTAAATATTAATGTCATTTGTCACACTCGACCCAGGTGAGGTAACTGGGTACCTGGTAGGATTATTCCTTGTAAACCACTGTGCACTTTAGACGGCTGCCGGAGCTAAAGCCAGGGTAATAATTTCCATAAAGCTCTTTGGAAGCCCATAGAGATGTTGTATGATGTGATATGCGCTATACAAGAACCAAATATTATTATTATTATTGTTTTTGAATGTTTCATTCCAGGCAGCAGCAGCTCTCTGTGTTGGTATTGGTAGCTTTAGTGATCCAGACGATATCCCGGGGTTTGCTCACTTTCTAGAACACAGTAAGTCAATACATTCCTCCTTAGAAATCAAAATGAACAAAATCCCTTTGCCTGTCCTAAGTTCCTAACCAATCTAACTGTATCACACCGTCACGTGTCACCTTTGTTAACACTTTTTCTTGTGTTTTCTTGATTTTTGTATTTAGTCACGATAGAATGTTGAGGCATAAATGAAATTTACAGTTAATGTGATATTACCTATGCTATGTAGCGTTTTTGAAATGTTATACTTTAGTTGAACATTAAATTATTCTATTCCAAAGTGACGGAAGGTAAGTTTACTTTTCAAGCAAAAGTCAAACATGAACTATATTTCCTTGATTATGTTGCATTGTTATGCTTCACTTCTTTGTTGTTGTTTTGTTTTGTTTATTTTGTTGACATTTGCATATGCCTAATTTATGTGTGAATTTTGTTTACAGGTGTGTGAGGAAAATCATGTACTCTGAATCTTTTTGTCTGTTATGAGTAACATATTTTTTAAAATGTGCTTATTGTTTTTACAATATACTACCTTTATCAACAATCTCAAATTTTAATCCATCTTTATGTTTTTTTTCAGTGGTGTTTATGGGGAGTGCTAAGTATCCCGATGAGAATTCTTTTGATGCCTTCATCACGAAACATGGCGGTAGCGACAATGCCTCAACAGGATTTGACAAAGTATGTATCATCAGGAAGTTCTGGATAGAGGATTTTTAACTTGTTTGTCCTATATGGCTTGAGCATATTCCCAAGTCAAGTAATAAGTTGTGAATCTTCAAGTCTTGAATCTTTATGAGCTTTTATGGGTGTATTTTTCTTTTTTTAGGGGGAGGGGTTGATGCATTTAATGGTGTGGATTTGGAGTCATGAATAACTGGAAAAGTTTGATGCTGTAACATCACGGATATCTCCAATTCCGTTTAACCGCCAGGTTTTCGGTTAAACGATTAATTTTTTTTTTTTTTTTTTTTTTTTTTTTTTGGGGGGGGGGGGGGGGGGGGGGGGACTGACCCGTGCGAAAAAACGGGTAGGACTTTCATTTAACTGCGAGGTGCATTTGAAGGCGCCGATTTGTGCTTGTGAACTTGTCACAAATAATAGTAACAATGTCGTTTTTAGAAGAATGTGTAAGATCATTAATGTAAATTAAAAACAGTAGAGGACCTAGGATAGAACCTTGTTGTACGCCGTGTGTAAAAGTTGGATGAATTAGTATTGTAAACTACATATTGAGATCTATTACAAAGATTACTTTCAAACCAAGATGACAGACAAATTGGAGTGTTGTTCTAGTTTTGGAGTGGTGAGTCAACACACAGATTACTGAGCTGGGAGACATTGCCAGGCATAGTTCCAGGTGGAGGGGCATAAATCGAAACCTAAAAAGAAAAAAAAAAAAAAAAAAAATGGGAAAGCGAAACCGTCCAATTGAAAAAGGAATCCGCCATGGGCGGTCGGATACCGGACAGTTAAACGTTTTACTACAGCACTAATATCGATAGTAATCAACATATTGTCTGTTCAGAGCCAAAATGGCACTAAGTCTGTGCTAGAACGTATATTGCGAGTTCCAAACAGATGATATCTTCATATAATTCTCTAATCTTATGTCAACAAACCTTCTATGGATGATGCCCATTGCACATAAATTATCATTTAAAGGGCCCCTCTAATCAAAACGCACCCGTGCGCTCACAAAAAATATTTTATGTAAGTATCTTGTGCAAGTATCTCATATTAGTTTATATATTGTATCATTAATTTGTTCATTTTTATTAAATATCTTTATTCATTTTTCAAATTTTCAAATTCTCTGACAATGTTATTCCATTAAGCTTGGAATTGACCTTTACATTGTGTATGCCACTCTAATCTTGTACATGGGACAAGCGAAGAGCTGATTTAGTTTTATGCCAGCAAAATGGTAACTCATGGGCATTTAAGTGCTAACTTTCTTGAAAGATATTGGAAATTCTTGTATCCAGCAATTCTAGTACTTCCATTCATAATCTTCAGGTTATACATGGTTATATAAAATCTTTCTTCCCCTTGCACCACTTTCCAGACCGTGTTTCAGTTTGAGGTCCAGAGGAAGCACTTTCAAGAAGGTCTAGACAGGTTTGCTCAGTTCTTCACCGAGCCTCTTCTCAAGGAAGATTCGACAGACAGAGAGCTAGAAGCAGTGGATAGTGGTAAATATTTTTGAAATTTTCCTTATGTTTGTACTAGAATAGCATCCGCTTTACTATTTTGTGTTGCCGTGATGTCAGAGTAGGATAGTTTTACTATGTTTCTCTCTTTTGCTTTCGTATATCAGTTTTACAACTGGGATTTGACTTAGAGTCTCTCAAGGTATTCTATATTAGATTTGATATACATTAAATTGTAGCATGCCGTGTACAGTCAAACCTGCTTTATGCCTAAGTCACACCTTTGCGTATTTGGCTTGCGTATTGCTGCGTATTTAAGGCAAGCCATTTGAACATTTATTCCTATTTCTTGATATCGAGAAATGAATTCTTGATATTTAGAAATGATTTACTATTGTAAAGCAATGGTAATTATTGATATCAAGAATTCAATTTCTTGATATCAAAAATTCTTTTCTATTCATATTGTGTTTTGCAGAGTTTCAGATGAGTGTACAGAACGACTTCCATCGTAAGCAGCAGATGATGAGTGTGTTCTGCAGGGAGGGGCATCCTATGGGAAAGTTCACTTGGGGTAAGCTCTTATGTAATATGGAGAAACTATGTTTTATTGATGCATCACATACATGTATATTCTGTTTTTGTCATAGGCAAGAATTGTGTGGTGGCTGTTTGGTACCATGGGCAAAGAGGTATTATGAATAATCATGATATTAAAGATAAAGACCAGTTATGGTCATGCAATTGCATTGTGAAAGAAACGTTGTGGAATCGATCAGAAAAGGTTGATCATCTAGCATATAAGTATTGGTGTGTACTGCAAGGTTCTGGAATCATCAAAATGATAAGAAATTTGGACCAGTCTTGGTAAAGTTACAAGCACTGTACACAGAAAGATGTATATGGGACTATGCGACACGTGCGCGACACATGCGTTATATCTATCAGGTCCAAGTAGATATAATAATTTACCAAAATATCAATTAGTAGGCGGTATCTCGGCAAAATTTGTATGATCATGTATTAGTCAAAACACATTCTTTCACATGATTGGTAAAAAGAGATTCCATTTCATTTTGAGAGGAGGGCATTTCCAAAACTGGTCTTTACCTTTAAATTGAGTTTCAGGCAGGTTGCCAGATATTATTTGCTATATGCAGCCAAGTGCAGGATCATTTCAATCATTGTGCCAAAGCAGATAACAGAATCAATCTTCCCAATTTAATTTTTCATGAAAATTAATAGATTTTAGGACTGATTTTGGTCTCAAAAGTTATTGGTCCGATTGATTTTTAAACAAAGTTATTGATTTTGACTCAGATTCACAAGTGTTACACATAAAAGATTTTTAAAAAAAGATTATTATTATTATTATTATAGGGCCCCATAATCGTTATCAAGAGTGTTTCATGTTTTAATAATATAAAGAAATCTTTATAAGTACCCATTTCTAGGATTTCATAAGCAAAGTTATTATGGTATAAATGCCAATCCATGCCACATTACATGATTTTTTTTAAATAAATGCAATGCTTCCTGGGAGAAATCTCAATTATTTAAACATATTTGTGGCTTACACCCAGTAAATAAGATCAATTGATCGATCTGTATTGAAAAACGAGTCAGAAAAAAATCTTGGAACCAGCGGGATTTGAACCTGCATCTACTGCTTGCCGGGCAGCGACTCTACCACCATGCCATCACTGGTCCATTGTACAGTCACGATGGACTTGAAACAAAACCCAAAGCTCTCCTGATTTATTCTGACTTATTAATATTCATTAGTCCGCCATAGGACAATAACTTTTATTAATGTAATGCTTCCTGGAAGAAATTTCAATTATTTAAACATATTTGTGGCTTAATCGATTGATCAACTTGTTTTTCAATACAGATTGATCAATCGATCTGATTTACTGGGTGTAAGCCACAAATATGTTCAGATAAAATTACATTATGTTTGTCAAACTTTGCCCAAAGCGTACACTACCTGTATCGATGTTATGATTATATGTACTTCATAGGTAACTCTAAATCCCTGAAGCTCGACCCTGCTGCTAAGAGCATCAATGTTCATGAGAGACTGAAGCAGTTCAGGAAACGGATGTACTCGGCTCATTACATGACACTGGTGGTCCAGTCAAGAGGTATGTATGATAAGTATTATAATAATCATAATGATAGTCACATTTAAATAGCACTGAATAGATTGAAACCTGTATATAAAGACCGCTCAAGGGAAAGATGAAAAGTGGTCTTTACAGGTAGGTGGTCTTAATGTACAGGCTCCTTCAGTACAGGTTTGAATGAAAAACCATATTCCTTGGAAACAAAAATGTGGTCTTTATAGACAGGTGGTCTTTCTTTACAGGTGGTCACTATAGCAGGTTTAACTGTACTATGATCTTAATATTGTAATAATTTTTACTCCGGTCATTGGATTCAATTGCTAGATAAAAAACAGTGTTTGTCAATCTGTACTGATGGGCAGTTAAATTTAAGATATAACTTTGCCTGATTGGCTAGTTGTATGGATATTACAAAGCAACTATAATTACACTTAAAGATAACCCTTCAACCAAAATAGTGTTGGTTAATCGGTACTGATCACCTATCTTATTTCTTGGTGAAATCATTAGTTTGAATAAAAAGAAAATACTTCTGATAAAAAGGTGAAGCAAGTGGATTGTGTATACAGGCCTGTAATTTTAGGATTTACATCACTGCTTAGGTAAATGGTTGCAACAAAAAATTTTGTACCTGAATTGATTGAATTATTGTATTTGGTAGATTCTCTGGATGATTTGGAGCTTTGGGTGAGGGAGGCATTTAGCAATGTCCAGAACAAGTAAGTAGAAAATTAAATAGGTTACTTAACTTATTTGATTAATCCAATCAGTCCAATTTGTTTTTCTCATGATATCTCTTACTAAAGATAATAGATAGTATTCAAAGGATTAAGAGAAACAAACAACACTCCCATACATATCTATAAAAGAAATACATTTTGTTATTGATTACTGTTAAATTTCCTCAAATAAAAAGTGTAAGAAAATTCAGAACCTGGATTTTGTTTGTTTCTGCTTCAAACATCTTCACCTTTCTCCATTTGCCATAGAAACTCAGTTCTTTGAAACCTTAGAGTAATACAACAAATGGAAGGAATATAAATTCCATTGTTTGATCAATTTTTCAAATCTAGCCATACTGTATGAACTAAATAATTTGGAGAATATTATTCATGGTTTTTATTTCTTTCCAACTTAGTTCTTTGGAGAGGCCCTCCTTCACATCCTGTGGTCAGCCGTTCCAACATGAGAAATTCCACAAGCTTTACAAAGGTGAGCTTGATTTCTTTTCTTTGTCTTGCTTTCCCTTTCCTCTGTTATTTCTAAATGAATCGTATATAACTAATATTTTTTTAATAAGATATACTGGATTACCATATTTTTTTAAAAGTATCTGGAGATGTTCTAGAAAAGTTTTGTCCCCTAATTCAATGACATACATGTATTAGCTATAGGAGAGGGGATTCACTATTCCTGGCCATGATTGATTGGCAAGTGAATGAGAAAAGAAAGAGAAGATATTGGAAACAGGACTTTGAGAAGAAGATGACACAATAAATAAACTTACATATAAGCCTATAATTCATTTACATATTGATTAATTTGACAACCTTGTAAGACCAGTGCACCCCCCCCCCCCCATGACTGGTCTCATGCTTTACCGCTGGTTCTTGTAAATTGTTCAGTTTATGCCTTCTTCTATTTCATCCTACAGTTGTACCAGTCCAAGATCAGCATACCCTGGACCTGACATGGTCCATGCCCTCTCAACAGAAACACTACAGGTAGTTACCCATCGCCGTTAAAGAGAAGGTTGAGTTCTGTGGAGAGGTGAAAAATCATTTGAAAAACATGAGAGAACAAACGTTCCTTGAAAAGCATGGCTCTTCAAATGCCTTCATATTCTAAATATGACATGTAACAGCTTAAAAATGAAGACCACATTTGTATGCCACATGTTTGTGTAGTCCCATATACATCTTTCTGTGTGCAGTGCTTGTTACTGGGCCAATTTTCTTTTCATTTTGATGATTCCAGAACCTTGCAGTACGCACCAAAACTTAGATGCTACATGATCATCTTTTTCTAATCGATTCCACAATGTTTCTTTCATATTGCAATCGCACGACCAGAACTCAACTTTATCTTTAAGTGTCATATTCTTGACATTATTACATTATCTTTTGATCTGAAATGCCAATAATGAATAATTAATGAATGATAAAGGAGAAAGATCATAAACGATTAAGATATATGAATCAATTTCTGTTGCAGCATGTTCATAATATTTTTTTTCTAAATTATGAAACATGATTCTCTCTTGATGCAGAATGTATGTTCCCACTGAGCTCTTCATACGCTTTCAATTTGATTGTCTAATATGGTTTTAATGCTGAAGATATTATTGATGATTCTTGTTCTTGTGTGTGTAATTGCTTCACTTTAATTGCTATCAATATATTATGCAATTAGGAACAATAGCCAGTTCAGGTAGCAACAGACAGCTGGTCATTCCAGCAGTCCCTGTATAAAAGAGAGTCCCGAATAGGCCAATCTAATTGGGTTGCTGCTGCTCAGATGATGCTATGTATCACTAATCTATTAAAGAACAAAGTAATTAAACTTTTCTAACACATGTGACATGAGGAATTTGTGGAACGCGCAAGGTGATAGTAAGGAAATGTATACTTATATATTGGAGAAAGACTGCTTCCCTTGAAATGGCTTTCACTGTCATTATCTTACTCCACAGATGCAAACCTCTTCACTATCTTGGCTGGCTGCTAGGCCATGAAGGAAAAGGAAGCATTATGGCTCTTCTCAAGAAACGGTAGGAATGTTAATCATTCAGGATGATCATCCTACCGCCTACCCCCCCCCCCCCCTCCCACCATTCCTTAGAAAACAAAAAGAATAAATGTAGCCCCCCCCCCCTCCCCCTTCCCTTGCCCCAAGATGGGATAGGGAGAAGGGCGATATAAGGACAATAGCTGCTTTCATTTCTCATATCCAATTCTATTTACTACGGATTTCATTCAAACTCTGGACCGTTCTGCTATTACCCTTATCTTCCTGATATAATATGTACATTTGTCTTTTACTAGAAACTGAAATAATCAGTACAAATGATGGTGAATGACATAGCATAGAGGGGCATTTATATTGTGCTATTACTGAAAATGTAGCAATACAATTGGTAAGACTTCTTTTTCCTACCTGTAAGTTACAAGTAACTGTAAACAAAACATATTTGATAAAATATTTGACAGATCTTAGAAGAAGAGAGTTAGGCATGAATGTAAAATACTCCGTGGTTTTATTAAACATCCAAAATATGTATATTTTCATGAATTGTGTAGAGCTCTGGCATTGAGGTTGTACTGTGGTAACTCAGAGAGCAGTACCGAACACAACGAGACGTATGCTGCGTTCAGCTTCAATATCGTACTGTCAGACGAGGGCCTGAAGAGAGTGGATGAGGTAAATAATTGGGAATTTATTAAGTTTCTCTTTTCTTCTTTCAAGTAGTACAGATTTCATGATGTGTCTAAGTGAGTGGAGGTTTGATTTGTTGATGACCCAGTTAAATAGAATTTTGCAGTTGTTGGTGCTAGTTCAGAGAAGATTTGGTCAAGCACATGAAGTTGTTAAATTGTCTTAATCCTCTTGAAGTTCTGGTATATTCTTGTTTCTTCTTTTCATTGTCATTGCCTCTTTGAATCTATATTCCTCCTTTGTCCACTTGCTTATCTTTCTCTTCTTCTTCTTCTTCTTCTTCTTCTTCTTTTTCTTCTTCTTCTTCTTCTTCTTCTTCTTCTTCTTCTTCTTCTTCTTCTTCTTCTTCTTCTTCTTCTTCTTCTTCTCCTCCTCCTCTTCCTCCTTCTCCTCCTCCTCCTCCTCCTCCTCCTCCTCCTCCACCTCCTCCTCCACCTCCTCCTCATCCTCCTCCTCCTCCTCCTCCTCCTTCTCCTTCTCCTCCTCCTCCTCCTTCCCTTTCTCCTTGTTTCTACCTCTTCTCTCGCTTCTTCTTCTCCTTTTCTGTTTTCTTATTCACTCTGTCTACCATCATCTTTTTCTTCTCCATTTACTTCCTCATTTTTCTTCTGTTGAGACGTGGAACAAATCAACACGTTATGATTTTTTCATCTGTTCTCACTCTCATTTCTTATTATTCTTGTCGTAGGTGTTGGTGATTATCTTTCAATATATCAACATGCTGCTCAAGGAAGGCCCACAGAAGAGGTACTTTCCAGCATATTTAACTTTGCATATTTTCGTCAAAATAAATTTTGCCTCCTTTGTCACTTGTCATTCTTTGATGTATGTGTTTGGAATCTCCTCTCTTTTTATTTGGGTGACTTAAGTTTTGTGTATTCTTGTAATATCATTTATCTTTATAACAAATCTGAAATATTGGAAGAAGAAACTTTGAAGTTGAGATTTGAGGCGTGATGTAGTTCATGTAATGAATATAACATTAAAGTGGTGCTCTTCTATATTGGCAACCATCAAAGCTATTGATTGAAACTACATTCATAATGTAGTCAGATGTAATCTCATGGAGAAAAAAATTACAGAGGGCCACACTGCTAGAACACTTTAGACATGATTAGCACATTCTAAATTTCACATGATTAGCGACTTACTTTCATGATCTGAAGATTTAAAAGATCATGTTTGCACAATGGAACAAATATTAATTTACGATATGCAATATTTAGTGAAATTTTCTTTTTCTTTCCATTTTTTCATTTTTTCGCCACAGAATATTTGATGAAATCAAGATAGTGGATGACAATGTCTTCAGGTTCTTCTCAGAGGTTAGTCCATGAAACTAAAATGATTTTAGTTTTGACAGTAGTTTATATACCTACATAAAGAAAACATGCTGATTCAAGTGACAGTCATTTGTGAAGAAAGAAATAAAAGTTTAATGTGACCGTACCAAAGAGGGAACTTACTTTGCAATGACCCTATTTGCTATTACTGGTAATCAATAAAACATACAAATATTTTTTTTTGATTTGATTCATGTATTTGATTTATTTTTGTTGTTGGGAGGGGGGGGGGGGCTTTACACATAAAACTGTACTTGTACAAATCAAGCACTTTTTTGTACAGGTTTGTACTATCCTGGTGTCAAAGTGGTAAGTTCATGACAGCTTGGGCATATTTCTTTAGTAATTTCTTATGGTGAGTAATGATCTATAGGGTATCTTTAAGTGAAGATCTGGCACTTACTTGTGGGGTTCAGAAGCAACTAATTTAAATGCCCTGTGTAGAATGTAGCTGAAGAGTATATTTTCTTATCTCTCCTAGATGGACCCTATAGACAACGTAGAGGACATGTCAGAGAGGATGCACCTGTACCCCACAGAGGAATACATTACAGGCCCTCTAATACAGACAGAATACAATGAGCAGGTATCCCCTTTGCTACTACTTGTACCTTATACATCTTGAAAGAATTTGTATGTTTAGAAACCATTTTTAAAGGTATAGACCAGTTTTGGAAATGCCCCCCCCCCCTCTCAAAAAATTAAATGGAAACTCTTATTACCAATCATGTGAAAGAATATGTTTTTACTAATAGGTGATGATACAAATTTTGCCGGGAAATCGCCTACTAATTGATATATTTGGTAAATTATCATATCGGTCCGGCCTGGATAAATATCGCAAATGCATTTCAACATTGAATATTGAGTATTGCCATTTAAACCTCTGAAGGCAATATTTAAACAATATTGAATGGATATTTTGCACCCCAAACCCTTGAACCGCAATTTTACTACTACCAGTCTTTACCTTCAAGTAATGCAAAATGTCTCTACTCCAGAGTTATAATGACACATCTATATTCAGACATATGCCTGAAAACTGACAAGTCTAGATGCAAGTTCCCTGTATATATGTAGAAATCTTTTTTTTGTCTAATATATTTATAGTATCTTAAAAACTTGACTGCACCAGTCAACAAACCAAGGTAAAATTGGGTTCAAAGGGAAAAGTCTTGCAGGCTTGTTTAAAGCCTCTTGACTTTATCACGAAATGTTCCTCTTTGCATGAGGATAGCGATGTCTTATTTAATAATCATTGCACAAGGCTGACCGGTGGTTTGGGACTTTTGTTGTTATGTGATGGATATGTAGCGATCAGGCAATCACTTTTCCCTAGTCCATTTTCACTCACATTCTGCACTTGAATCATTCTGGTACTTTGAAATATAATTCCTCTTTTTATTTTGCATGAGGGGCTCGAAAATAAACATCTAGGTATTGATAGTGTTCCCTTTTTTGTGCACTTTTGGGCCCCGTTTCACAAAGCCTTTTTTTCAATGACAAATTACAAAAATCAGTGACAAATCTGCTGATAACCAATCAGAAGTAAGGATTTCAGTAGCTTATAACAAAAACTGTCATTTGTCACTGATGACAAGTTTTGTGAAGCACCCCCCTGATGTGAGTCATACTAAATGTTTTTTCCTCAATTTCTTTTTTACTTTCCTCTCATACACTACCATATGTGATCAGCTGATCAGGGACTGCACCAATCCCCTGTCTCCAGACACAGCCAACATCATCATCTCGTCCAAAGAGTTTGTTGGTAAGACGGATCAGAAGGAGGAGTGGTTCGGAACCGAGTTCATCGTCCAAGACGTCCCAACTGAGTGGAAGGCAAAGATGAAGAGTAAGTAGCAGGCTTTTAATGTCTTCAGACGTAGAGGCAGGCAACTTTTTTTCCTTTTTTAGAACAGACCAGTTCATGGTTAGCACAAGTCCCAAATGACCCTGTATATCCACAGATCTTCAAAACATGAAGAGGTCCCACTTTGTAGATTTTTAAATAATCATTCCTACAGCGATGGAGGTGCTACATAAATAGCCTTTCTTCCCCCTTTTCAAAGAATACTTCCATCTGTGTATCATGGAGTGCACTGCTTGTGCATACATGAATAATGATCAAATAACTTTCATGAGCACATATTCAGTATTTTGTCTCCTTGTATTTCACAATTTGGTCTGCAATGACCTTTATCTGCTCATGCTCGGACTGCAACTATGAACTGGCTTATTGTCCATATGTGACATGACACGGTGGTAAAATGGTGTGGCAGAATAACAACTTTTGTATGCGTAAGGGAAGGACAAGAGAGGATGAGAAAACAGTATTTGCATGTAACAATGTCCCTTAAGCATACTCTTGTATTTGAGTGTTATAAAAATGCAGAAGTGCACCATAGTAAAGTTGGCTCAGTCAGCAGAGCGTCCGCCTCACAACCGGGAGGTCGTGGGTTCGCACCCCGGCCGGGTCATACCAAAAGACATTAAAAGATGGGAGTTGCTGCTACCTTGTTTGGCGTTCAACAATAAGGGATAGAGCAACGTCGATCTGACGCTACTCAGTGGCTGCCGGGCACAATCAATTGGGCAAAAAGAATTTCCATTTTCGGTTTAACTTAATAAAATTTGGAGTGGACCTTAAAAGATTATTATTATTATTATTATTCTGTTTTCCTACAGCTGCAGCTTATCTTTTGGGGGAACCTTGAAAGGGTACAAAAGCCAAGACACTGTATACAATAGCCATAAGGGGCATGGCTGAAGTAGATATTAAAACACATAACACCTAAAGTAAGTCAAATAATGGCTGTTCTTTGATTTTTCTTTAAGATGCTGGTTTGAACCCTGATCTGTACCTGCCGACACCCAATAAATTCATTGGTGAGTTTTTGTCTTTTATATAACCTGTTCATTTTATCAGTAGTAATGCATGCTTAGAGCTTATGCTGTACTTGCAATTGTTGGTCATAATTTTGGAAACCATCTAGAATTGCTCTTCATGAAATTCTGTGAAAGTTCACATATTGTAGAGTGTTTTAGACCATATTTACGTTGTGTATTGTCAACTGTTTTTTTAGACACAAAACTCTTTTAGTGCTTGAAAATATTGATCTATATGTTAACCTTTGTTATATTTTACTGTTTGAGAAGAAATGAATTTGAATTGAATTGAATTGATTGAAATGACTTAAATTTTTAAATCTTGTCATCAAAAAATAAATTGATTGAGCTTAGATCATCTTATGGCTTAATATCCACTAGTCCTACATATTTCATTTTCATTTAGTTATTTCTGCATCAAAATAAAAACAAGGTATATTCAAAATCTATTGAAGATATATTTAAGATATATTCAAAATACAAACAAAGATAATGAGATAGCTAGTGGGAGGATCATGAAAAGCACATAAATGGCTTATTAGAAATGTTTTAACAGAAAAGTAGCAATTTTTCTTCAATTTTTAAATCTCTGCAGCAACTGAATTTGACCTGAACAAGCCTGATGTACCAGACACAGATTACCCAACATGCATCTTGGATACAGAGCACAGCAAGCTATGGTATAGACGAGATACCAAGTTCAGCATGCCCAGAGGTATGTACAATTTTTATATTAAAAAAGATATTATCTCTCCAAACGAATACATTTTCTGCAATAAAATTGGAGGTATTAACCCCTTAGCTCTCATTTATCTTTTACAACTCTCTCTCTCTCTCTCTCTCCCTCTCTCTCTCTCTCTCTCCCTCTCTCTCTCTCTCTCTTTATCTCTATCTTTCATTGTTATTGATTTTTTTAATTGGTTGAACTGTGTCTCTTCACTAAATGTACTTTTTTTTCTTTGATCCATTCACTTGTGATCAATTGGAATGAAAATTTGAAGAGATAAATGTAGTGAGTACTGCTTTATTTTTTACCCTTTTTTCTATGTGTGCCAGCATTCATGTACTTCCATGTATTTCATTTCATTTCATTTATTTTCCATTAAAATTCAAAATAAAATACATATCAAATTAACAACAAAATCGGAAGGACCCCAAGAAAAGCAAAGCTTGTGAGAATGGGGCCCTGTACAAAAGTAATCATACAAGCAAAAAGTATAATTTACTGATGTGAAATTTGCAGGGATGAACGTTGTTTAAAAACACCTGTTTATTCATTCCTTTGACAGCATCCATGTACTTTCACTTCATGACCCCTCTGGTCAACCTCTCACCCAAACACGCCGTGACCTTTGACCTGTTTGTGTGCCTGTTGGAGCATCAGTTGACGGAGACGGCGTACGAGGCTGAGGCGGCCGAGCTGAGCTACACACTGAAGGCCTTGGAGAGTGGGCTTGAAATCAAACTCTACGGTTTTAATCACAAGCTTCCAGTAAGCGACATTGTACTCTAAGAAAGAATTCTGAATATAATTATGTCTCTGCACTTGTGCTATCATTATTAAGCAGATGAGAACAAAAACAAAAAAAATTGTTTCGCAAAACTAAACATGAACATATTTTGTTGATAATTTTTTAAAATAAATGTTAAAGATAAACTTGAGTTCTGGTAAAAAAAGAAAATAAATTCTCACAGAATCAATCAAAACTTACACTGTATGTTAAAAATTACAAATATATGTCATTTGACAAACATTTTGGTAGAAATGTATAATGGCTAAGTAATGAGCATAGAAAGATAAGGAAATCATGGTGTCGGGCCCCGACACCATTTGTGTAGTCCCATATATACATCTTTCTGTGTACAGTGCTTGTTACTTTACCAAGACTGGGCCAAATTTATTATGATTTTGATGACCCCAGAACCTTGTAGTACACACCAATACTTTCATGCTACATGATCAACTTTTTCTGATCCATTCCACACCTTTTCTTTCAGAATGCAATCGCATAACCAGAACTCAACGTTATTTTTAATTTAGATAACAAAAGTCTAATTGTAGTTGCTCAAGAAAAAAAGAAAAAATATACATTCATTTTGTGTGTTATGAATGTAAGGAAATCCACTTTGCCACATATTCTCTGTGCTGCCTGCTTTTCTGTTGAGTTTTGCCTTTCCCTAATAACAACAAAGAAATCCATAAACTGCACATCCATCATTTATTAGGTTTAGAGGTCAAAGTTGTGCTTGACCTCCAGTCGTGTGTAATAACGTGTCTCTTTGAAAAAGAGTTATCTTTCCTGATTTTTTTTCTTTTCTGTATTTTTTCAACATAATAAAAAGGAATATATAAACTAGGAACATATGTATTATTAACAAAAGTAAATATATATATATATATATATATATATATATATATATATCTATATATATATATAATCATATCATAAAATATATCAGTTAATTAATTATATCTTTCAATAAACACATGGTTGACAAATCATTTCAAAATTGAAAAATGCAGGAGACCACCATCTTTAGCTCGATAGAAGAGCGAGATACCCATGCTAAGCTAGCAAATTATATATTAGGAGCATTTAGTTTCTCCCATCAAGTAAACAGAACCTTCTCCCATTCATGCCAATTATATCCATTGAATATTTTTGCCTCAAAATTGTATTACATATATATTTTGTCTTGTAAAACCAAAATATTCACTCATTCTTCTCTCTTCTTGTAGCTTCTGTTTGAGACTATCGTGGATGTTATCGCAAATTTCACCTTCTCTCAAGAAATGTTTGTGGCTGTGAAGGAAAACCTGAAGAATTCTTACCATAACTACATCCTCAAGCCAGCCAAAGTCTGCAGGTAAATCTACATCAGGCCTTAACAAAAAGATGTTGTATTGCCCTTAAGGTGCTAAAACATGGGTCGGTCGGTCATAAATCTTTTTTTTTTTTTAATTCTCCCTCTTTGAGCTGATGGGGGCTTTGCAAGAAATTTGAGTTGCGTTAATCGCAAGACTTGTGCTTGATTTGGGGGATTATCAATTGATTGCAATGCCCCATATGCGTTCTGTCTGGTTCTTTGTAGTTTATTTGTTTGTTGTGACCTTTAAAGAGAGTTGCAAGGGTTGTACAATATTTCCTCCTGTGACATTTGGTACATCTCAATTTCCTACTCTAACCGAACTCTTAAAACTGTTCCATTTTAATAGTTTATTTATTTGTTGCCTTCCAGGGACTTGAGACTGTCCATCCTTCAGAAGGTCAAGTGGACAGCGATGGACAAGGACAGGGTTGTCCAAGCGGTCAGCTCGACGGACGTTATGAACACGGCCAAAGACTTCCGTTCCAGGTTTTTCTTTGAGGCAATGGTGCAGGGCAATTTCTCCTCAAAGGTAATTTATTCTTAAAGGTAAAGACCAATTTTGGAAACGCCCCCCCCCCCCCCCTCTCAAAAAATGAAATGGAAGCTCTTATTACCAATCATGTGAAAGAATATCTTTTGACTAATACGTGATGACACAAATTTTGCAGAGAAACCGCCTACTATATATTTGGACCAGATAGATATCGCGCATGTGTCACGCATGTGTCGCATAGTCCCATATACATCTTTCTGTGTACAGTGCTTGTAACTTTAACAAGACTGGGCAAAATTTCTTTTCATTTCAATGATTCCAGAACCTTGAAGTACACAACAATACTTATATGCTAGATGATCAACCTTTTCTGATTGATTACACAACAATGCAATCCCAGAACTGGTCTTTATCTTTAACCCTCATCTTGCCGAAATGTCTGTACTCCGCCCAATTCTTGGCCATACAAGGTCATGTATTTTTTTTTGTCCAGACTGTTTAGTGTCTTTCGTCTTGGCCTGTAAATTAGTGATTGATTGCTAATTTTCAAGTAATCACAATTGATGACAAGGTAAATAAATTGAGCTATGCTTTGTGTCACAGGACCTAGGGGTCTGTCTTTTCATTGTGACTAGTGTACAACCAAAACATAGACATAGTACATGTACCATTATGATGTCTAAGATGCACTCTCTCTTAAAGGGATCCGGTAACTTTGTCTCAGATTCTGAAACAAAATTCTGGATTCAGCTCATGATGCAATGATAATTATAAACCTTTAGGTCAGTCAGGAACCCCATGACTTTTACAAGCCGATCGCCTGTCTGATTATCAAGATATTTATGATTGGAATTACAAATTTTGAAAACCGTTCGCCTGATGGTTTTCATAACACTACAGTCTATTGGGGAAAACGAGTATGGTAAAACCGGTCACTCAAAGATTTTTACTTTTTTGAGGCACTTCTTGATCATTTTGAAGCGCAATTTTTTTAGGGCTTCAATATTACATCATATCACAGACACTGATAACACGTAGGGCCGTGTATCTCAGATTTAACATCGTTAAACGATCCCTTTAAAGGTAATACAAAGTTTTGGGAAATTTTGAAAATTGGGTGGATAGTGATTCTTTACAATTTGGATATATTTGGACGCCTCTGTGGATGTATTTTAAGCACTAGAAAATTTAGCCTCTAAAACACTTCTGCTTTCGACAAAAATTGAATATAAAAATTTACTGGTGCTCCTGGTAAATTTTGATAAATTTCAAATAGCGCCTACGGCCGTACAATGGTAGCTGCACATGACCATGACAATCTCAGAATATGTAGATGTGATATATAACTTCCAAACTAGAATAGCAAATTGGTTGGTTTTAGTCAAGAAACATTGTTTTATAGCTTAATTGATATCTTGACCTTGAGAGGGAGCTATACAACAAAAAGAGTGTATTATTTACAATTTCATAACTTTGGATTCGATTTCAACCGCGACAACGATCACTGAATATTGTAGGATCGCATATGCTTCCAATATGTTCATTTCAACCAAATTCATGACCCCATACCAAAACTTTGTATTACCTTTAAATCATTGAAATTTCCGCAATAACTGCTGACTATTAACCCTGTAACTATACTTTCTTTGTTGTTTTTGGTTTGGTTTTATTTCTGCATTCAAAAAGATACAAATTCAAAGTAAAATGATGAAAATTTAAAACAATTTCTGGAGAGATTTTGTAATGCTACCATAGTATTGGGTATACCAAGAGGGGGGGGGGGGGTACCGCCCTTGATTACAAACGGAAAGACTTCCAATTAATGTTTTTATTGTCCTTTGTAGGAGTTCATCAGCCTAGAGCAGTACCTCCGGGAGAAGCTCAGCTTTGCACCCATCCCCAAATCGGAGAGACCTGTCACCAGAGTGATGGGCGTGCCAGGGGGTGCCACACCCTGAGATGGAAAGCATACAACCAGTCCGATGCTAACACCGTCATCACAAACTACTTCCAGGCTGGTCCTGGGACCGTCAGGAGTCTCAGTGTTCTTGATGCGCTCATGGTGAGCGAGAAAAAAAACTGGATGAAATGTATTCTAAAAATCCATTTTTGTGGGTTAACCAATTATTTGCTCTGGGCTCTATTTTGTCAAAAATATATTGATTCAGTTAAAGCCGTTTGGAGCCCCAAATTTGCCCAAAATTTTATGGCAAAATTTTACTTAAATTTTTATCATAATGTGATTTAAGACACTTCTGTAAATGTTTTTCCACAAATAAAGTGTTTTAAGACCAATATTGTTGTACGCAGAAAACCTAAATTTTGTATTCTTTCATCAATATTCCACTTCAAACACATTTGTTTGGTTGCAGTTACGGTAGGTTAAGCGTTACTGTTTGGTCCTGGATTGGAGTTGAAAATTTGGCTGGCATAGGAATGTGGCTGCAGAACAATTGTTGCCCAAGCATGTGTTGAACAAACTCCTTTGTGTCATCTTCATAGTTCTTTCATTTGCAATCAGAAAGTCTTCTCTCCGTTTTCAATCATCATTTAAATCAAAATGAAATTACTAGAAGTGATATTGTTCTCTGATCTTCTGTCTTACACTTTTCTCTGCTCAATATTCTTTCTGCTATCCTCCAAATTTGCCTTTCCCTTTCCCTTTGCTCATCTTTCTTTTTGTGTCTCTTTTTATTTCTCTGTTTCGATTCTTCAATGTCACTTCACTTCTTTTTATTTTTCTTCTTTTTGGTATAGACTGTCATGGAAGAGCCCTGCTTCAACATTCTGAGAACACAGGAACAATTAGGGTAAGCAAGGTTGATGTATGCTAACTGTGAAGGGTTTGTATAGGGGCATCCCCAGGGTATCACCCCCCCCCCCCCGCCCCCTTAGCCATTGAAGGATTGTATTATAGCCTGTTAGCCACTTATGATAATTATAATCTCTCTCTCTCTCTCTCTGTTTTTGTTTTGTATCTTATTTTACATGTTTAGCAAATTCTAAAATCTGATAACCTTTTTTTACCCTTTTTGGCAAATTTGAAATCCTGAGGCCCTTAATTTCAATTCGCTAAAAAAAATTAGGAAAGTATGATTAATTAATCATTTTATGAGTTATTCAATGCTTTCTATTTAAATAAGAAAATGTGTGTTACACTGTTTACATTGCTATATTTTGTATGTTATTATCTCTATAGGTACACAGTTAATGCATCAATGAGGAACACCTTTGGAATTCTGGGCTTTGCCATTTCAGTCAACACACAAGCAAACAAATTCAGGTAAGTATTTAGCACCCTGAAGTTGCCAATTTCAAGGTGATTATCAAACTGTGCTTTAATGTATGGTATTGATTCTGTCAATAATTTGTTCCCACTGCATTTTTGCTGTGTCCTTTTAGCTTAAAGATAAAGACCAGTTATGGTAAGCAAGGTTGTTTGGAAACCGAAAAGCCATATCAACGTCACACTGTATTATTAACATTCTACACAAAGTGTTTGTTAATTCAGACAAACCAAAATCCTCATCAACGATAGTTGTGACAGACTTTTCAAAAGCATTTGACCGAATCGACCATACTATCGCCATAACTAAACTTATCAGCTTAGGAGTTTGCCCCTGCATTGTGCCATGGATCATGAGTTTCTTGCAATCCCGTCAACAATGCACCCGTTACAGATCAGTTCTATCTGATTGGTCAATGTTGCAGGCTGGAGTACCACAGGGAACCCGCTTAGGGCCCATTGTCTTTCTAGCCATGATTAATGACGCAGCGCCACCGACCGGAATCAACGCCTACAAATACGTCGACGACATGACGCTCGTCGAATGTCGCACTCTTGATGAACCGTCCAACATGCAGAGTGCCGTCACTGATCTCGCCTCCTGGTCAGAGGACAACCACATGAAACTGAACGCCACAAAGTGTTTCGCAATGGAAGTCAATTTCTCACGAAATCCTACTGTCCTACCCGCAATTCGCGTTGACGGTCTAGAACTACAATCCGTCAATACTATAAAGCTTCTCGGCATCCTGATCCAAAGTGACCTGAAATGGGAATCAAATGTTACAGATATCATCAAAAGAGCAAATGGAAAACTTCACACGCTACGTATCTTAAAAAGGCACTGCCTTCCAGTTCGCGATTTGTTAACCATATATGATGGATATGTTCGGCCTATTCTCGAATACGGGACACCGGTTTGGAACAGCGGCATCACCAAGAAACAATGCGAAAGCTTAGAAAAATCCAAAAGCGAGCCCTTCGCATCATCGTTGGTGCTCGGTATACTACTTACCAGAACGTTCTTACCTGCTTTGATATGGAAACACTTGAGCAAAGGAGACATTCGCTGTGCACCTCTTTCATTGGAAAAAGTATTTCCAGGAACCAATTGAAGAACATCTTACCCCAGATTACTCAGAAAAGAGTCCTTAGACATACTAAGAAATTACCAGAACTACGTTGCCGAACAAACAGAATGAAAAACAGCCCCATACCATCACTTGTACGCATCTACAATTCTAGTTAACAAGAAATCTACTTTCATTTTTGTAATACTACCAATATTATACTTGTGATGTAATCCCATAAGTGCAATACAAGGCAATCTATGGTTTCAATTACCGATACAAACAAAGTATGAAATAAATTTTTATGCAATCTGTTTTTTATACATTTATATTCATATACCAATTTTATATTTATACTGGGGTCTAATCTTTGTATCTGTATAATAGAATCACTACATTTTCTGTACTGAAGTTGAAAATATGTGTTTAACCATTTTTAATTGTCTAAATGACTGAAATGATCTTCCATGGCCAATGTTACAGTTGTCTCCTCTTCCTCTACCACTTCTACTTTCCCACCTCCTTTCTCATCCTTCCTTCTCAATCCTCTTCTCCCTCTTTCTCCTTTTGCTTTTGCTTCCTATAATGGTTCTCCTTTGTTATAGTCTGGTTGAAATATTATAACCTTTTCCTTAGAGTAGCTATTACCTAGAGTATTTTTTTTTTTAATTGTACAATTTTTCATATAAGTATTTATTTTCTCCTTAACTTCGCCTATATCATTGGTAGTTTGTATAATGTGTAATGCTTGAATATTGACATCGATACATTATGATAGTGTTACTATTCGCGCTACCCTCCGTCTATCATCATACTATCCCTACTTGAATCTTCTTCTTCTTCTTTCTCCTTCTCTTCTACTTTTTCTCTTCTCCTTCCTCTTCATCCTCTTCTTAATCTTACCATCCTCTTTTCTTTGCTTTCTTTACTCTACACCACCATCATGTTCTTCTTCACTTCTCTTTATCTCCTTTATATATAAAATGAGTTAGGGAGATCAAATAATAAGAAATAAGCATTTTAAAGTTATTTTTATTTTGTTAACAATCTACTCATCCAATTTTAATTTATTAATTTGAGGTTATTTGATACGAATGTTTTTATATACTGTATTTTACATTTGTAAAACATTGCCCAATTCGGCCTTGTAGGCCGCGATGCATTGTTGTTCTTTTATTCTCAATAAAACCATTATCTATCTATCTATCTATCTATCTATGGTCGTGCGATTGCATTGTGAAAGAAACGTTGTGAAATCGATCAGAAAAGGTTGATCATCTAGCATATGAGTATTGGTGTGTACTGTAAGGTTCTGGAATCATCAAAATGATAAGAAATTTAGCCCAGTCTTGGTAAAGTTACAAGCACGTACACAGAAAGATGTATATGGGACTACGCACGCGTGCGCGACACATGCGTTTATCTCTCACACACCAATAGATAAACTAATTTACCAAATATATCAATTAGTAGGCGGTTTCCCGTCAAAATTTGTATCATCATGTATTAGTCAAAACATATTCTTTCACATGATTGGAAATAAGAGCTTCCATTTCATTTTTTGAAATTGGGGCGTTTCCAATACTGGTCTTTACCTTTAAGTACACAGGCAAACAAATTTGGGTTAAACAAGATATTAAAACAATTGCCAGATTCAAAATGATCAACAAACTATTCTTGAATGTTATTTTCAGGTGTTTGATCTGTCATTAAGATAATGATTTTGTATTCTCCAATTTTGTGGTCTACCATTCTATTTAGCACCACAGGCAAATAAATTCAGGTAAATAAATAATATTCGAAAATTGTCATTGATCATGTAAAATTTAGGTACTGAATGTTCAACACCATCACCACCATCATTGATGCATTCATTGAGGCATGTTTGATACAGCAGTATAGTTCAAAGTTTTGTAATGGTTACAGAAGATTAGATGCTGCTTGTAAGTGTCAGCTTTCATGGTGATGTAGATATACAGTAGGCTTGCGGGTGCACCATGTGAGAGGGAGAGAGAGGGTTGAGAAGTCCTGAAAAGGACTCTGACTCGGTAATCTTTTTTGGGGGTGTGTAGTCCTGAAAAGGACTGTTTGTTATCTTTCTTAGCTTATAGTTTTATGGAGAACTATAGCGCTTGGAGAGGATGAGTGGCTCAACGTTTCAAACAGGTTGACTTTCCGTCATCAGGAGTGGAGAGTAGCTGGCGTGCCTGAGAAGATTGTAGTAAAATTAACCCAAACAAGAAGGAAAAAAAACTCGTTATTGATGGCATGTCATGTTACTGTATTCTCTACAGTGCCAGCTATGTTGACGGTTGCATGGATGCCTTCCTAGTGACGTTCAGTGATCAGCTGGATCAGATGAGCGAAGAGGACTTCAGGACCCAGGTGGAAGGTTTGATCAACATCCTTCAGTGCGAGGACTCGTCCCTCCTGGAAGAATCGGACAGGAACTGGAGCTATGTTCTCAACCAGGAGTATACCTTTGACAGGATACACAAGAAGGTGGGTATTGATTGTGATGAGGAGGAGGAGGAGGGTGATGATAGTGATAGATGATAGTGATGATAGTGATGATGATGATGAGACTGATGATGATGGTGGTGGTGGTGGTGGTGGTGGTGGGGGTGGTGGTGGTGGTGGTGGTGGTGGTGGTGGTGGTTGTGGTGATGATGATGATGATGATGATGATGATGATGATGATGATGATGATGATGATGATTGTGATGAGGAGGAGGAGGAGGGTGGTGATGATAGTGATGATGATGATGATGATGATGATGATGATGATGATGAGACTGATGATGATGGTGGTGGTGGTGGTGGTGGTGGTGGGGGTGGTGGTGGTGGTGGTGGTGGTGGTTGTGGTGGTGATGATGATGATGATGATGATGATGATGATGGTGATGATGATAGTGATGATTGTGATGATGATGATGATGATGATGATGATGATGATGATGAGACTGATGATGATGGTGGTGGTGGTGGTGGTGGTGATGATGATGATGATGATGATGATGATGATGAGACTGATGATGATGGTGGTGGTGGTGGTGGTGGTGGTGGTGGTGATGATGATGATGATGATGATGATGGTGATGATGATGATGATGATGGTGATGATGATGATAGTGATGATGATAATGATGATGGTGAGATGATGATGATGATGATGGTGATGATGATGATGGAGATGAGGATGATAACTATGTTGATGTTAATAAGGATGATGATGATGACGAAGGTGAGGAGGAGGAGGAGGAGGAGGAGAAGGAGGATGGTGATGATTGTGATTTTTTTTTGATAATGATGATGATAATGATTAGGCATATCTTTCATTTGAAAATTTTCCTGAGACTGTTTTCAGTTAAGTGCAGGCATGTAGCCATGGGGGGAAGGGGGGGGGGGTTGATCCAAGATCGGTTGAACTTTTTTAGACCCCTCTCCAGGACGTCGATCGATTACATGTATGTGCCCCCCCCCCCCAAACTCTGGCTGCGGCTCTGGTTAAGTGCAGACCTGCCAACCAGTACGATTTAGTCGTATTTAGTACGATTTTTAGAAGCAAATACGACAGTACGATTTTTCTTAATAAAATACGATTAAAAAAATTAAAAAAATAAAAAAAATTTAAATTAATATTTTGTGTGTGCGTCCGCCATTTTCAATGGCAAAATGTCCATTCTGTCCTGTTAAGTATCCTACAAGCATCTCACATCAGCAATTCGGGGATATTTATTGGTTCATCGAACACACCAGTCCTGACGAAATAATGCATTTTCAACCAATGATCAATGAAAAAAATTCTTCCTGTAGGTAGAAACTGTAAGAGGAATTGATCCGCGTAACAATCCGTGTTTATTTTCAAGAATACAACTTTTGTCAGTAAAATACAACTTTTGACACTAAAGAATACAGTTTTTGAACTCCAGAGGTTGGCAGGTCTGTAAGTGGAAAACTAATTTACATTGGAAAGATTTCTACTCATGAGCACAAAACATATTAATTTCCTATGTAAACTTATTTGAATCTAACCTCAAAGTAAGTACCGGTATAATGATGTTAATATTCTCGCAGGTAAGTAGGATGTTACATGGTTTGCATTTAATTTGTTAACTTTCCCAACTGGTTGAAAATTGTGATATACTTTTTGTTTGTTTTTCTTCTTTAGGTTGAGGTTCTGCGATGTTTGACGTTAGCTGATATTAAGACATGCTTCAGGGAGCACATCCAGGGCGGGACTAACTTCCGCAAACTGAGTGTTCAGGTATACACACACCTTTATAGGGGTAGATCCTGGGTTTTATAAAAGGAGGGGCACAATATTACTAAAATTCGCTGACACGCAAAAATGAATGTCATGACGATTTTTCAATACCCATTTACTAAATAAAAATTTCTGTTCAGCAGAGAAAAAAGGGGGCGCTTTTTTTGGACTTTAGTACTAAAGATATGCCTCTTGTGATTTGACTTCGCCCCCCCCCCCCCTGAAAACCATTTAGGGATTTAGCTCGGCTGTAATAGTGATTATAATGAGTAACATATATAAAGCTGATAAAGCAAAAGTATCTATCAAAGGTCTGCAAGCATCAGCTTTTCTCTTGAAATTCACAACTTTGGTATTTTTGCCTCATTGTTGAATTTCAAACCCTACCAAATATACAGCATCTGCACTGTTTCTATCTATTTCAATTTTGTTTTAGGTCATTGGTTACGGTGAGCACGAGAAAAGCAACCCCATAAACGCTTCCACCAATGGAGATACAGAAGTAGATGACATCGCAATCACATCAGCCAATCAGATTGCAGATGAGATAGATGCAGCCAATCAGGGATCAGTCCATTCAAAATTGGACCAATCAGAGTCGAGAGTTCTACCACAGGATGAGGGCGTGTCAGGGGCGTGTATAGCAGACATCAGGACATTTAAACAAGATTTATCGGTTCTTCCAATCAGTAAGATAGATCGTTGATGAAGGCCTATGATTTAGACTAGTAAGGTAGTTTACTTATTTAGATGAGGAGATATGTGGATATATATTTGGTCAAATTGGAGAATTTTTGCAACATATTTATGATGGGAATGCAGAAATCCTTCCTCTTTTTATCAATCCAGGGTGGTCAACAAACAAACATAATTACAATTTAGAGGAGTACCGGTATGAACTAATGCATGAAGTGCAGATTCCCTTGCGGCCCAGGTGCAACTTTGAAGTTTTTAGATGCTCTAAAGTACAATCTGGACATTATTTTGAATTATTTTCAACCAAATAACTCATATTTCTTCCTAGTAATTGTTGAGAATGGCTTTGATTTTTTGATTAAAAAAAAAAAAATCATGTTTCCATTAAAATTTTAGTCTGTATTTGATTTCCAAACCAGTTATTGTAAAATTTCAAACCCTCTGCCGTTACATGTTAAAGCTACATAGTATTCTGTGTCCATGTGTATTGGTTCGTAATTCGCTGACACCAGATTGGGTTGAATTACCAATTAATGTGTCTGTGTGTGCAAAGATCTCTGAAGCATTGAACCCGTGGTCCCACCGGAAACTAATCCAACTTGCCTTCCTATCTCAAGGGTGAGGGAAATTTGATATTATGAGAATTCTATATGGCGATAGACTAGGCACGTGTGCTAACAAGACTTGTCGGTGGTAAAAGTGAAGTCCATTCTAGGTGACTGACAACACCTGTTATTGGGTAAACACTAGAATGGTGTCTAATTCCCCATGAAAGCACACTACTATGTGTCTTTGAAACCCCTTGTAGATCACCCTGCCATCTCTTGTAAGTCTCTTCTCTCTGTCTCTTTGTCTGTCTGTCTGTCTCTGTTCGTCACTGTCTCACTTTCTCTCGTTCTATATGCCAGTGGCAGTTTTCTTTGTCTTCCACTTCCGTTGATATTTCTAGTGTAACACACTGGAAGGAATGAAATAATCTAGTACCCACAGTCTATAGCATACCTCTCAGATTTACATGTAGCAATAGACCGTTTACTAACATATTTAAATTAATGGATGTTTCTTTCCTGGGGACCTAGTGACAAGTTATTCCATTCACCTGTCATTAATGAATGAACTTTAATACTCAGAATCCAGTCTACTTATGTTACTTGTTACTATGTCCGGTTAGCCTCAGGCAAGCTTTCTGGTTGAATGACAACCTTTACTTTAAAAAGTATGCATACAATTTGAATATGTTATTAAACAGGTCTTGTCTATTATAAAGTATTGAATTGTATAGTGTTGGTCTACAGTGATGTTGGGATTTAAAGCTGTATAATGCTTGGCTCAAAATAATTTCTGGAAGTTTAATTTCTCAAACTATTGCCCTTGATAAATTGGCCAAATTAGAAAATCTGTACCAATGTATCTATGATTGTAATGAGAAAAATTTATAGAGTTTTTCCCTTAACGTCAGCATTTTTTTTCTATTCTAATTTTCCTTCACATTCTGAATTATTATACACATGTTCTATCCTAAAAACAGATAAAATTATGAGTAAATTATTTCTGTGAAACTCATGTATATCATGTACAATGTCTTTAGGCATGTTTTAATTCTTACAACAGATCAAAATTATGATGCATTATTGGTTAATAACTGCGTAGATGGAGGCATATTCACTGCTTAACATGGAAAACGTCAGCAAAAACACAAATGAAAAGATACAATACTATTAGCTTATGTCGACTTCAATTATTTCGCTGTGATGAAATTCAGAGTAATAACTTGTTGGAGTAGGAACATATGCTACATTTTGAGACCACTTAATGGTCATTCATCATTTTATGTACTGTTTATAATATATTTCAAATGATATAATCTGCACATGAAGTCGGTTGTGCCAGACTGACCGCATGGCCACCACTCTGTAATGCGTTGATCTTCAATAAAAAGGATAATGTACAATTTATACAAAAAAAGATGATCATAGTGGAAACTCCTTCGAAACACTTTGATTTTGCTGTGAACATATATGTAAATGTCATATTATCTTGTATTTTGAATCATATCAATATTTTGTTTTAATATTCAGGGCAATTACTTCTTTTCTTTGTTTTACTTGAAATCAGGATATTAATGAAAATAACTTCATGTTTTGAATATCATTATCCCTAATGTTATGTATACCCCCTAAGGACTCACTTTGATTATATGTTCTTCTTATCAAGAGATGATTTCAATCATTATATTTTAAAGATATTTTTATTCCTATGAATCACAACTGCAATACATTTTTGAAATTATTATTAAGGAACATTTTTAATTTTTTTTAAAAATATTTGTCGGATGAGGTTTAAGTAATTATCCGATCCTACAGATTTTTTGTTTAAATTATGATTTGTTGGAACAGGGTTAAAATGATTGAATTCAAGTTTTTACGTTTCTTTGCTTTTTTGTTGGGGTTAGATTTGTTGATAATATTTTTATTACCTGATAGATCAAATGCTTTGTGTCCTGAATTGGTCAAGATTTTTTGTTCATGTACTGGTAGATATAAATGACACTTTGACAACATCATGTGTGCGGAAAGACATTGTTAAAGATTCGTTATTTAATTAATTAAAGGCATATTTTGTCACAAATTTTACGCAAATATTGGGTCTCTTTTATCATGATTGTAGATGATAGTTATGTCCATGTACCGTTCACTCCTACTTTTTGAGCATTGTCTCATTGTCGGATTATTTTAAGAGAGAAATCTTAATCATATCTGCACATCAACCTTTTGTGTCTGAGTGCAGCATACAGATGTCATAGAACTGAAGCCCCCCCCCCCCCCCACACACACACACGATTTGTTGAAAGACATTTCACAGTGGCATTGCAATAAAATGATATGTTGTTCACATGCCCCGTCCCCTCGACCCCCCCCCCCCCCTATTAAAAAATAGTCTGTTGCATCTGACCATTGATCAAACATTTGGAAACGTGAAATAGGGGTGTGAGAGACCTAGCAAATGGGAAAATGAGGCCTACCAAAAGAATTAACTCGTTTCTTTTCATCAATAAAATAAACATAAGTATATTGGGAAACATTAAGAACAGGATTTATACATCATGTGAGAGGCCTGATAAAGAAAAACAAAAGAAAATTGTACGAAGTTGAGGCGTACCTATAGATACATGTGCATGTAAGCTCAAGCTGTTTCATTACCCTTCTCTCCACCCCCCCCCCCCCCCAATAGTCATATCTGAAGAGAATCAACTTTTTTTGTCTGAGAGCTGCATTTATCTAACATCAGAGATTATAGAGAGCATTGCATGACACGTGAGAGGATTGTTTAGCGTCAAGTAGGGTCAAGGGTCTTATTTGGGGGATTAAAGATAACAAATTCTATTTGATCGATGAGTAAATCAAACATTCAGGAATGTTACCATGACGCATGATCTGACATGTGGGCTTGTTCGGGAGGGGGGGGGGGGATGGGGGTATGAATATGATAAAGTTCATTCACATGCAACTGGAGAGAACTGCTTTTCACATTAACCCCTGTAAAAAGTTCATTTGTATTAATGTAGAAAAATTGTAGAAGCACAATGCAAAAAATTCAAATAGATCGATTAGATCGATCAGACCAATGTTAAGAATTCTGAATGTTTGATAAAAAATCAACGACAAAAAATAAGGAAGGCGAAGATAATAGTTAGTTTGATTGAGGCCTGTATTTAGGAACATGTAGATGTAAGCTCAAGCTCTTTGAATACCCCCCCCCCCCACTTCTCCCCTCTCCCATATAAACATCTGTTTTGTCTTTGAATGCCGCATTGATCAAAGGACATCATAGCTGTCAAGAGCATTGTGTATAGCACATGAAAGGACAGGTCTCATTTGGGGGATTAAAAGATTACTAATTATATTTGATTTATGAGTAAATTAAACATTCAGGAATGTCACCATGAACTTTGTGAAGCATGATCTGACATGTGGGTGTGTTTGGAGAAATGTGATTAGGATAAAGGTCATTGTCACAACTGGAAAAACTGCTTGGTTACCATGGTAACTACCTCCGTAATTTAAAGCTCATGGACATGATCTTTCCTAGGTCTAGATTTGGGTTGTCACAAGTGGGATGATGGTCAGACGGTATTGTCAATATAATACGTGCCTAATCTTCTTGGTATATCTAGAGAGAAATGCATTGAGGAACAGTGGTTCGTTCACTTCATTCTCAATCAAGAGTTAAAGGTAAAGACCAGTATTGGAAACGCCCCAATTTCAAAAAATGAAATGGAAGCTCTCATTACCAATCATGTGAAAGAATATGTTTTGACTAATACATGATGATAACAATTTTGCCGGGAAACCGCCTACTAATTCATATATTTGGTAAATTTGTTTCTCTCATGGTCTGTGAGAGATATAGGGTAGTCCCATATACATCTCTCTGTGTATAGTGCTTGTAACTTTACGAAGAATGGGCCAAATTTCTTATCATTTTGATGATTCCAGAACCTTGCAGATGCTAGATGCTAGATGATCAACCTTTTCTGATCGATTCCACAACGTTTCTTTCACAATGCAATCGCATGACCATAACTGGTCTTTACCTTTAAAAAGTTCGAATCTTATAAACCAACCTAGTTATGTCCTCAAACAAGGCCTCTCTATCTCTCTCTCCCTCTCTTTCTCTCTCTCTCTCTCTCTCTCTCTCTCTCTCTCTCTCCTCTCTCTCTCTCTCTCTCTCTCTCTCTCTGCCCGTCTGTCTTTTTCTCCCCCTCTCTATCTCTCATCTGACCCGGGTGTCATATCAGGTACTTAGCAGGATATAATCCCTTGAACTGAACTGTCTGAGCTCAAACGAGGATTAACTGATAATCTCCAAACCATGAATTTTGAGAGCATATTATATTACAATATGATCTGTGTAAAGTAATAAATATTCTTGAAATAATCACTTTTGTAAGTTTTCGTTGTGTTCTATTTGAGTACGGTATACATTTTATTCTACATTCTCTCCTTTTCACCGTCTTGGTCTTTTAACATAAAAGTGTATTACTTATAACTTTTTTTGCAATTTCGATTTCATCTTACCAATGCTAAATAATTTCTGCAAAAGCTATCGACTTACAATATGTATTTTAGTTTTTTGTATATGTTTATATCTCTCTATATTTTAAATTTGTTTTTAAATTAAACATTTTCAGCCTGCGAGCTGCTTGTTCGATGTGTTTTTGCGATAAACCAAACCAATTCAATTCAATTCAATAGATATACACGTAATTAATAAGTCTGATCTGACAGATGGGGGGGGGGGGGGGGTCTATCTGGGGGGGGGGTGCATTGGGATGAAGTTCACAGTCACCTTATTTTGGCGGTACATGTTTATTAGTTTCATTGGAGTACCGTATCATCCAAACATTGAATGCTTACATTGTCGTCATCCATCGTCATCCATATACATATAGGATGATATAACAAGTGAGAAGCCAAGTTTGGGGTCAGTTTGGGTCAAGTTATCTCTGCTGAATGATATCAACAACAACAACAACAAAACTAGGTCAAGTCGGGAAGCATCAAGAACATAACACGTGACAGACCAAGTTGAGTGTCAGTGTACATTAATGTATCTTGATATCTTACTTTTTAATGATTTGCATGCATCCATTTGCCCATAAAGTTGGAATAATAATTGTTTTCTTACCTCTATTTTCATGAAGCCATTGTGAGAATATGTTTTATTCTTGTTAGATAATGTAATACATCTTCTTAGAATTCTACTTGTCAATCGAGCCATAGAAGTTCTGAGAAGATATCAATCACTTCATGAAAAGAGGTAAATATGAAGAAAAAAATATCCTAAATTTATGGGCAACAGTATTCATAAAGTAAAAGTAAATAGCAATGAGAAAATTGAGAGCATAACATTCATGCATGCACAGGCCGAGTGACTGTAATATTATTATATCTCTATTGAATGATTGGCCACACATAATGTCAGGGACTATTATTAGAAAGGTCGAGGGAACTCCAAGAGCATCACCATCACATCGTGCATGGACATAGTAGGTCAGATCATGTAGCCTACGTGACTGGTCAATTGGAGCCCGTGGAGGCTCACTGTGCATCACCAAGTCATCGCCTTATTACATGTCTTGTAAGATGTGGGCTGATAATAAAACCTTAGGGGTCAGTTGGATTAAGTTATCTGTGTCACGAAAGTACGGGACGGGGCCTATATATGCAGGGGCGGCGTACCCGAGGGGACAGGGGGACACGTCCCCCCCCCCCTCATTTTTTAGAGCGGAATCGCCCCTCACCCCCGGATAAATTGAAAAAGTGCGACAACAAAAATGTATAGCAAACACTGACTAAAGACTGCAACACACTGTCTTTTAGGCTCTGGAGGGCCCAAGAGTGCAGCGTTTGGACTAATAAA